GTGCTAAAACAGTAGCAAATGAATCTAATATACGCCAAAAGCGTGGTAGACCTGTCGGTTCCAAAGATAAAAATCCAAGAATGAAGAGAAAGCAGAATGCTGGCTCCATTGAAATTGTAGAGACTCAAAAGTTCTCTAAACAACAGCCAGAAAATGCATCTAAAGAAATAATCCTAGAAAAGGCTCAAGTTGTTGAAAATAATGAAGATGCAAATATTGCAAATAATGATGAAATCTCAATAAATTATAATTCCACTGGAATAAAGTGGAATCGAAATGATGTTGTCATTAACGATGTTTTTGCATTTGCTATAGCAAATGATACAGCCAATGAAAATGTGGATCTTGAACCGAAATCCATTGAAGAATGCCAACAAAGAAGTGATTGGCCAAAATGGAAAGATGCAATTCAAGCAGAATTGAAATCATTAGAAAAACGCTAAGTTTTCGGACCAATTGTCCAAACACCCAATGATGTAAAGCCTATCAGTTATAAATGGGTGTTTGTGAGAAAACAAAATGAGAAAAATGAGGTTGTGGGATACAAAGCCAGACTGGTAGCTCAAGGCTTTACACAAATACTTGGCATTGATTATGTGGAAACATATTCTCCTGTGATGGATGCAATTACATTCAGGTTTCTAATAAGTTTAGCAGTTTCTAAAGGCCTTCAAATGCGCCTCATGGATGTTGTAACTGCTTACTTATATGGATCACTTGATAGTGACATTTATATGAAAGTCCTTATTGAACTTAAAATGCCTGAAGCATACAACTAGACCTGGCAAACGGGCGAGTTGGGTCGGGTTAGGGTCGGGTCAGAACGAGTAACGGGTCAAAACGGGTTGGGTTAAAACGGGTCACGGGTCAATGAAGGCAGACCCTAACCTGCCTATCACGGGTCACAGGTCAACCCGCGCATCATGGGTCAACCTGCGCATCACGGGTCAACCTGCGCATCACGGGTCACGGGTTAACCCGCGAGTTGACCCAATTAAATTTGTTTTCTTTTTTTTATCTATAATTTGTACCTATTATCATTCAAAGAAAATTATTCAAAAGATTTAAAAAAAAATTCAACATCTTATAAAAATAATTTTTTTATTAATTTAATATATAGATATTTATAGTTCCTCAAAATCACCTGCTTTATTTCCCTTAAAAGAACAACGCTAATCAAATTCAAGAACACAATACTTATAAATCTCAATAGCCAAAAAAAAAAAAAAAAAAAG